TAAGTTGTTGCTTTTAGTTGCCCAAATATTGCACCTAAATTAGTTCAAGTCTACCTTATGCCAGCAACACAAGACGAACTATTCAATTAAGCTTACAAAAGCACATACATATTGTTAAATAAGGTATAACCAAGCGTTACCTGCAAGATTTCTTCTGGGTCATCAGCTTGAGCGGCCAATTCGTCAGCAGCAGATATCAATTTATCGGCGTTTGTCAATGTATTAGCAGCCACCTATAAAGAGATAATAGGTTAAGAATAGGACTCGATGTTAGACAGATATATTTATTGAAAATGCGATTATAAAAGAAACTTAAGGTGCATGCTAGTGTGAATTCCAGACAATCGGTTGAATACCGAGGATTTAATATATTCGTCCAAAATAAGATACAGATTTTAAGATACATGGAGGATAAGGGGAAAACATTGTGTGAATAGGTCTTCGGCGCACCGCCTTGTGATCCCGGTGAACCCTTGCTGAGCGTTCGTTCGTCATGTGACTGACATCGGTAAAGATAATTCACCAAAACTCGAAGGCAAGAAAAGTAGGAGGCTTCAAAGGTACTTCCTTCTTATATTCAGACATAAAACATCCTACAAGGGTAGTTGGGTCCAAAAATCGAAATTGGCCAAACCCATTGCTCGTACAGGCCACCAGATAAATTGGTCCAATGCCAAACGCTTAGCTGGATATACCAGTAAGCATAAGATTAGGGAGGCGATAGAAATCAGCAAAACAGTACACCCTGAATAGAAGGAATGAGTTTAGGAAGTTAAGCCGAGAGATAGAGGGGACGAGAAGCAACACCGAGGAGGAAGAGGCTTGATTGGGATGGAATCTAGTTATCACTCTTACATGACTCTCATTTCAATAGCAATGCACTAAAACAACACGTGTGCAATGGGATCCAAAGGCATAAGTGTTTTATGGGAGGATGCAGCTGTTCGGTTTCAATTGCACCCATTTCACACTTAATCTGTAGCCACTTCATGTGTAATCCGCAGACACTTAATTTAGCTTATGAGCAAATATAGAAGCAAAGCATTTGATATCCATGCAAGTGGACCGAATTTAAATATAAGAAGGAAGTAGGTTTATAATTCAGGCACCTTTCTTAAATTATCGTTGACGATGTCAGTCACATGACGGACGAAAGCTCAGCAAGGTTTGGTCGGGGTCGCAGGGCAGTGCGCCGAGGACGTATTCGCACAAATCTATAACAAGAGCTCCAAGGCAACTCCACCGCAGTCTCCAGTGTAACCAACCTACGAAGCTCTTCCACTCAACTCTTGAAACAAAATGATAGGTACTCCAATATCAATAGGAAAATATGTTTGTATGTTAAAACAAGTATACCCAGCAAAATCGAGATATCAGTTTACATTAGATTTATTCAATTCATAATAACTTTGTGTACTTTACGTATGGGTTGGAAGGTTAAATGGATAAGGGAAATAATTTTTACTGTTTGTGCATAGCACATAAATAATCGAAAGTTGAATTATTAAGTATATATTTGGGCAGACAGGTGGCTTAAATTCTTATGATTGATAGATAAGTATACCTGTTCAAATTGCATATGTGCATTGTATAGCTGTTCAGCGCGCTGACTCGATCTTCCTACTGCCGTCTGGCGGCGAAGAAAAGGTTCACCATGCTGGTTTAGCCAGGCAAGAACCTGGCCAACATCTTCTTTAAACATTAATAATGCCAGACGAGCTGTCAACTGGCGCTTGCGTTCAGTCTGATTGCGCTCTAGCTGCTTAAACCATGACCAAAGCTGTGAACATTTACAACGGATGACGATGAAATGCGATCGAGGAAAAAAGCATAAATAAATTGTTGAAAATATTGCATTACTAAAATTAAAATGAATGAGAAATATGGAAATTTTTGCAAATATTAAATATGTTTTAATTATATGGAATAAAGCAATCAAATGAGCAAATTTATAATACGAAAACACTAAAGCAATAGTAC